GTAGAGCTACAGCGGTACCTTCAGTAATTCAGGCTTGATCTCACAAAGTTTGTTTACAACCTCTGATGGACCGAAATGTTTACTTTGCCTAGGTGTCGTCAGGTTTTTTGTGATGTATACTGTAAGTGCTTGTGATTCTCAAAGGCCATACTTTTTCTTCCTACTTTTGGATCAGATAAACTTGCCTTCCATTTGTTTTTATACAGTGAGTAAAGGTTTGTTTTGTTTCTGTCTTACTTTTTTCAACATTGTCTTGCAATAAACACCTTTTAAACTCATTTCTGCTTGTCTCTCTATGACTCTATGACTCTATGACTAAGAAAACTAGTCGATATGTGATTTTTTTTTTTAAATCCCCACTAACATTTGGTTTAATGTCCCTTAGCAAGGTTTCGTTTCCATCAATAAGTTTCTGGGATAATTCTAGCTGAATTTTTGACCACTGTACTTGGCAGAATTGGTAGAGTTAGTTTAAATTGGACTTTTAAACTTTTAAATCTAATCCACAAATATAAATAGCTTTGAGATTTGGGTTTTGGGAAGGCCATTCCAGAAGTTTAATGTTAGCCTACTTTATCCTGATATGAGTTTGGAAGCATTATCCTGTTGGAACGCCCAGTAAAAGAAATCATTAAAAGCCCCAAGTACCATAAAATTCATGCCCATGATGGTTAACAGTAGCTGCAGTTAAACTGTATTTGCAGCTTCAGTTCATTATAACTTCATATGTACTTTATTTTGTTTGGCCTGACTTTTTCCGTCCTGTGTTAATTCACATCACCAATATCCCATTTTGTCTTGTGAGTCAAACAGTTTATAAACTGCGTTTTTCAACATACAGTTATTTTTTTTTAGCACTTAAGTTATTGAATTATTTTATTGCTCATTATACAGTGTCAAGGAACATTTACCAACATATTTATTTTAATCAGTAGAGTTTAGTCATGTATACTCGTTTAATTTTATCGTCTTACTGTTTTGAATGAAAACTGCACTTTGACTTCCCGACCAGCAGGTGTCAGTGTTCAATTTTTCTCCGTCCAGCCGAGCCGTCTTCAATTTGATATTGTCGACTCTTCCTTGAACTCTGACCTGTCTGTAACCTTCAGCGTGCATGTGAAAACATAAGAGACGTGCTGTTAGCTGAAGCTTTATTAATATTATTATTGTTGTTATTATTATATCATGGTAAGAGTACATTTGATACTTTTTGTGTTAATGTGCCAACACTGTTAGAGACTGCGGTTATTCCGGAAGCTTTCCTTGTGTGTTTGTCGCACATAAGACGTAAGACAGCTGTGCCTCCTCTTCACTGAGAGGTCTTTAATTTGATTTAGGGTTAAATTTAAACAGTTTTTAGTAAAGTCACATCCAGAAAGGATGTAGACGTGTGTGGAAAGCGTGTCGCTGTTTACAGATGTAATGCAGGTGTTGTTGACTGTAAAGTCACTTCTGGGTGTTTTTTGTGATTAACTGTCATTCCTGATGTTTTTTTCTCCTGTTGTAGGCTAAATATCTCGCACAAATCGTGGTGATGGGAGTTCAGGTGGTGGGACGTGCATTCGCTCGTGCTTTGCGACAAGAATACGCAGGTATGACCCGGAGTTAGTCGATTATTCGATTCTTGCGCAGAATACATTGTTACAAAGTACTAACCTAGTTTAACACCTGGCATAAGGTAATATAAGAAGTATCAGTTTACTTTCAGTAATATAGGGCCACACCCTGGCTGTAAGGTAAATTGTGCACACCATTATAGTTTTAGTTACCTTAGAAGCACATTTTGTAATTTTCAGACAAATGTTGCACACAAAGTCACAAGTCTGATCAGCATTTTTTTTTATCACCATTACATGTTCACTGGCCTCATGTCTGCCTTTAATTCTTCATGGCATAGGTTCACGAAGCTGCTGTAAATATTCCTCAGATCAGTTCTCTATTGGATTTAGATCTGAGGACTGTTGGAAGCAGGGAGGGATGGACATGGTCAGCAACAATACTAAATTAGCAGCCGGTGTTGTCTTCTGCTGCTGTAGCTCACCTGCTTCAAGCTTTGATGTGTCCTCTGCCTACCTTAGATCTAATGAGTGATTCTTTGAATTACTGTTGCTTTCCTGTCAGCTCCAAGCAGTCTTCCCATTCTCAATGTTGATGGCCTCGGGCATCAGCCAAGTACTTTCACCTAGACATCAGCCTGGATATTTTCTCATTTTTTAACATTCTCCATAAACCCTACGTATGGTTATGTGCGAAAATCATAGTAGATCAGCATGCAATATTTGAACTTCAGCATGTCATCTTGACCACATCTGCATGTCTCAGTGCATTGAGTTGTTGCCATGTAATTGGCTGATTAGATAGATCCTGGCGTTAATTAATGGGAACTAATGTACCTAAGTGGCAGGTAGGTGTATGTGTGTCTGTGTGCATGTGAATCACATTTGTTTTTGTTGTGTTTTGCTACACAGCCAGTCAAGCTGCAGCGCAGGCCAGGGGCCGTTCGGGTCAGGAGTCGGCCGCAGCCTCCAGCATCACTGGAATTAGTTTGCAAGAGGCCCAGCAGATCCTCAATATCTCCAAACTTAGCCCTGAAGAGATTCAGAAGGTACAGTCACACTAGTGATCCTTTTAGATCCTTTTAAGGTTGAAATTGGTCTGGAGATCTTAGAAGCTTTTTTTTTTTTTTAAATACCAGCTGATGTGGGAGCTTTTTACTCTTACACAGTTATTAAAACAAATACAGTAGTTTGGTTAGTTTACCGTCAAAGATTGCATGGAAGGGAAACCATCTCTAAAGTGGTCATCAAGTAATGGAATTTTTTTTTAGCGTTTGCTTAACACTAGAACACTAACATCGGGTATATTTTACATGACAATTCCCATCAACAATACACGGCAAGCTGAAGTACTTTTCTTTTACTTCTGAATCTCTGATGTCATGTCACTGATGTGATTTGATAGAATATTTGGTTAAAAAGTGTGTGTTTCTGCTGGGAATAATTAAATGGAGTCAGATGCTGTCACTAGAATACTAACACTGAAGCATTTCTCTTCACCAGAACTACGAGCACCTTTTTAAAGTCAATGACAAGTCAGTGGGCGGTTCCTTTTACCTACAGTCAAAAGTAAGTGCTCTAAACCTGCATTCACTTTCACTTTCCAGACATTTTTTTAAATGTGTACAGTTAAGGCAGCATGAACATAAAAATTGGTACATTGTTTTTGCTTGTCTAAATATGAAATCAGCACCAAAAAATAAATAAATAATTAAAAAGTACAATTTTATACCTGTAGGTGTCAGAGTTTTGAGTCTCAAACTCGGATCTTTCTTCTGCCAGATATTGTGTAGACAGAGCTAGCTGTTCTAAAAGGTTTTTTTAAACTGTTGCAAAAGGCATTTTCACCCTTTTTTTGCTGTTCTCTTGGGTTCTGATGATGCAACGACGAATCCAAACAAACCAAAAGGAATCTCTGAGAACATTTGCTCCACTTATTGGTCAGATGTGTCTGAGAACTGAGGAAGTATGGAAATAAAAGATATATATCATGTCAATTTAAAGTGGCACAACATCAGAGTTGGCATTTGCTCATAATGGTGGAAATGATAGAAATACACCAAAACCATAACTTTGCTCTTTGTGTTGAATTTCCGCTCATTCACACTTTGCTTGGGGAAAACACTCAGCAGAATAAAGTAGTTCATGTTGATCATGTAGCACAGATCATGTGACGGTTGCAGGTTTCAGTGCCCTGCCTTCTTCCACAATACAAAGTTAACTGGTCATACGAGCTGTTTAGTTCCTGAGGGAAAACTAACCAGTCTGATCAGACTGAACTAAAGAGTGATGATGTTAAACGACTCTGATGCTGACAGATTCCCTCAGAAACTGTTTATTCTCAGAGATGCTGTTTGTGTTCAAAATACCTGTTTTAATATATTTTTTAATTAAATTATAAATACACTGTTTACTATATTAATCATTCACATTGAGTGAATCCTCTCCATGGTGAGCGCACAGTGCTGTGGGAAAGTATTTTCCCTCTTCCTCATTTTTTTGTTTTTGTTTTTTTGTGTACTTGTAACTTCCAAAACTTTTATCTTCTATTTTTCTGTTCCCTAAACTTTTAAAATTTCTAGATTAACATGCAAAAGATAGATAATATCGATCTATCTTTGCTTATTTTCTCTGAATTTTTAACTTGAAGGCATCAAAATGTGTCCGTTCCAGTTACGATGCAAACGGTTGTAGTGGCAACTTGATTTAAAAACTCCACTATGTTCACATGAAAAAAAGAATTGCCACAGGCTAAAGACAGAAAAGTCACTGTGGGGCAGATTTCACTGGCTGACTGGTCAGATCGGACCAAAGTTCATGTTTGAAAGCTCAGTGTTTTTTTTCGCTCTCAGGACCAGCCTGATAGTTTCTATGACAGATGTGCAAATACAAACTTCTCACTCCTATTTTAGTCTTCTCATTGAATATCAAGTAACACGTGGGTGGAGTCGACTCTTTGTAATGAGTAATGTTTGACGTTCAGTCAGTTGCTCTGTACTTCCTCTTTACTGTGACTAATTTGTATTTTAAAAACATTGAAGTCACCTCTTTCTCTTTGTCATCACTGTTATTGTTTGTGTGTAGGTGGTGCGAGCAAAAGAGCGTCTGGACGAGGAACTAAGTATACAGAAAAAAGAAGAAAAGCAGCAATCACAGCAGAACACGGAAACATGAAGGACAAAGCGATGCCCGGTCTTTCCTCTCCCCATCCTCTGTAAATTATAACCCAATTAAAAGTCTTCTCCTTTTCTCTAGTTTTGACTTTGTGACACTTTTTTTGCCAAGCAATGAGGTGCAAAAAAGGAAACTATAATTCTAAACATACAATTTTAGCTTATGTGCTGAATTTAACTGCATCGAGTTGAATGTTAATCAGGTTATTCTGGGTTGGTTTTCACCTGTTTTAATGTATATGTGAGATAGAAATGAAAATGCACACAGAAGTATCAAATGCAGCTTTATTAAACATTTTTTTGTTTTCATTGACATTATTATCAATATCGTAATAAAATTCCTCTAAAACAGGAGAACGCCGCTATGTTGTACCAATTGGAGACTTTTACAACTCTAAAATTCTGCATGTTCGACCATAGAACATGACGCCAGGAAAAAAAAATATATTTTCATATAATCATTTTCTTTTTCATAGTGTATAACTTCTATATTTACCTATAATAATAAAAAGGCACTTGGAAAAATTAAAATACTGACATAATATCTCACAAATGTGCAAAAAAACAGAACTTGGAACAGGCCTTGCGTGGCCTTAGTCTTATCATTAACCCTTTGTGCAACGCCGTAGCGCTTTCGGTCAGCGGCACCCCTTTTACCCTGACCCAACTCGCTGACAGCTTTTTGCCCTGGATTTCAGCTCCACGTGTCTCAACGTGAAGTGTTAAAATCTGCAGGAACGCGTACCACTTTTTCTTTTTATGCTATATGAAAAATAAGATTTTAGAATTCAGACATTTTAGCGACTCCGAATGACTTTTTACAATGACTTTGTTCCCAAAAACAACCGACGAATAACGCACTACGCTGAGAAAAGACGTGACAGCATCACCTTATCTACACTCGCTATGAAGGGGGGAGGGGGGCGGTTTATTACAGGCTGAGCTCAAAGGGTTAATGGATCATACAGCTTATTTAATATTAAAGATGTGTGGACCCTGGAAGGATCCGTGTCAGTATCGTTCAGACTTCTGCAGCCACGCAGAGTCTCTGTCCCTGGCTTCGACCAGCAAGAGGAAGAGACAGACAGGGGAGGTGGAGGAGGAAGAGGAGAGCCGCAGCATCTGTGGGTTTCACTGTTGCCATGGAAACCGTGTCTAGCCTACTTAACACCTGTTTTGGTGACATCACACGCCAGGATTGTCCACTCAAAGAGCGAGAAATTCTTTTCAATTCAATGCCCACCCGGACTCCAAAGACAGGCCAATGGTGTGTGTGTGTGTGGTGTTTTTTTTGGGGGGGGGGGTCTCTGAGATAATAATGACTAACAAAATTACTGAGGCAGAAACACAGGTAGGCTGTGAATCCTGGTGGACCTGTGAGCAGCACAAACTCAGGCAGGGGGGTTTATACTTGTTTTGTTTGCTGTGAAAGTGGCCTTTTTACTATCCCTGTCAAAACAAGAAAAGCTTTTTGGCCGGGAGGTGGGGGAGTTGAGCCTGTAGGTTTAATCTATAAAAAAAAAAAAGAAAGAAAAAAGCCCAGAGGGCAGCTAGAGTTCAGTGGCCTAGTTTTCTGCAGGCTGGTATGCCTCTGAGTGGCTGCCACATTGGGCACAGCACAGCACAGCGACTTCAGAGCTGAGAGGGCCGTTTGCTGGGGTAGGTGGCCAGATGGAGAGTGGCTGCGCTGCACAGCCATCCTCCACTGGCATACAGCCTCTGCTCTCATCTCTCCCCGTCCCTTGTCTATTCATTTATTCATTCAGCCAAGCCTTTCTCTTTGCTCTCACGCTCTCTCAGTGCTGCCCAACATTTCACAGTCAGATGTTTTCCTTTTTGTTGTTTTTTTGTTTCGGGTACTCTCTCAATAAAGACATTTATTATGCTCACACTCCCTCAGTGGCACACACCGGTGTGTTTGTCTTGGAGGACTGTAATGTCAAAGCAGTGGTTCCAACCTTTTGGCTTAAGACAAAAGGGATCAAATCTGCAGTTATGGCCTCGAAATCAGGGTTGCCAGGTTTTGGTAGAATCTGTAAAGTTTTGGAAGTGCTGCCTCTTGTTTGTTCTGCATGAAAATTGCACACATCATTCATTTGAACCCAAACCTACTGAACAGATTACAGATCACTGTGTCTGCCACCTTGTCTTTTTGCACAGTGTATGGTCTTAGTCTTAATATATGTTCAGCAGATCCCCCAAACACTGATACCGTTCCTTACAACACGGTTTCATTTTAACTCTTTAAGAAATTTAACAGCGTCGCCCTTTACATATCAATAAAGACGTTGTTTGACGATCATTAGAGCAGGTTCTATGTTTTTTTCCAAGGGTAGCCTTGGTAAGCTGTATAGGCAGCGCTCACTTCTGATTCAAACCCAGTCATTTTGCTCTGGAAGCAGATCTGCAATATGACAGAAAAGACTCAGATCAAAGAGAAACAAAGGTTACCCATAGAAGGCATCCAAGGGGGAGGAGTTAAGGAGTTTGTGACACTGTATAGGAAACCACACTGAGGACTTAACTGTCTCTGTGAGGTTACGCTCGGGAAAGGCAGTGTGTTAAAGTACATGATAACATACTACAATGGAAAAAATTGGCCATAGGTGTGAACAGTGGTCTGTCTCTCTGTTAGCCCTGTGACAGACTGGTGAGCTGTCCTTTTGCCCAGTAAAAGCTGGGATACACGCCAGCACCCCTACTAATCCTGAAGAGGATGGATGGGTGGATGGCAGCACTAGATGATAGAGATCACTTGAATTATTAAAATGATCCTGAGGGGCAAAAGAATCACACTGGATTCATTATTCTAGAAAGACTAAAGATTATTCACATATAGGTCTAATGGCAAAATAACGGGCTGGCAAACAGACTTAGTGTCATCCACTGATCTACTGAAGCATTTTTAAAGTTTTTAAAAATTATTACCCGACCCTTCAGATTTATAATAATATCCCTTTTGTCTCCCACATGTCAGATTGGGCACCACTGATGCTGGAAAACCAACCAAAGCTCTCCCTCTCTTCGACTCTTCGACCTCTCGAAAGACTCATCCTCGACAGCAGAAAGCTGATTTGCAGAGAAGCCATGACAGAACACAAGAAGCATCTTCAACATTAGAAAAAATGTCTCGTCTGAACAACAGCAAAACAAAAAGAGAGAGAAAAAAACACGAAACAGCAATAACTAAATGTATCGCCCCCTTGGATAAAGTGATGAAAAAAGGAGACAGCCAATGAAGCGGAAGGAGAGGGGAGAGATGGAGGAGTGAAGAGAGAGGAGGGCTGGGGTTTATGTCAGTCTCTTGAGGGAATGTTCCTTGTGTTATGATCCTCCTCTCCCGCTCCTCGACCTCTCTCTTCTGTGCACGCAGCAATCAAAGTCAGTGTCACGGACAATTACTGAGCGACAGGCGTCTGGAAGGACCCACAGCAGGAAAAAAAACGGACTGAGAGCAAAACAACTGATCAAAGAACCGTGTAACATTTCATAAGAACACACAAGGGATATAGTTTGTGATAAGTGCATGTCGACAGCTTTATCAAACCATGAGAAGTTTCCCAGAAGTTAAATGAGTCTTTTTTTGTTGTTGTTTTGTCCATTTTTGCCCCTTTGGACAGAGTAAATTGAGGCAGTTTGCAATAGTGTGGCTTCATAGTCAGTCCAGCTGTATGTGGCACTGAGTGCACAACACCCCCCCGCCCAAACACACCTCCACCCCTCCTCTGTGGCACAATGCGAACATCCCGCTTGCAGTTTTCCAGGTACTTTTGGCACAGCGTGAAAACTTGTTGAACTCAGGACAAATATTCGACCGACGGCTCCGGGTTGGACCTCGACTGGACGACCACCTGTTTTTCACAGCTGGTTTTGGGTCGGGTTACTTAAAAAAAATAAAATAAAATACAAGACAGTAGTGTTTATCGCCACAGTGGCCCTTTCATACGCAAGATGGCCGTGTTGATTCAATTACGAGAAAGCAGCTGGACAATCCAAGAGAAAAAAACAGTGCTAGTTCTGTAAAAGGCAAGCAGGATGTCGTGTGTGTCACGTCCTACTAGGAGGGGGGTTGGAGGGTGTCGGCTACACCACAGTGCCTTAAATCTCACTTGAAAATCGATTGGTGATTGCCAGGTGATGTAACACCGTTTGTCTATGTTATGTCCTCAGTTTGCTCCGTGCCCCTAAAAGCCCCTAGTCTGCACACCTCGTACACATTCTGGTGGACTAGGCTGGTCTGTGTTGGTCACCCTCTCCCCAAACTGGGGACAGATTGTCAATAGTTAGCAGCAGTTTTGAGGTTTCGATACTATAGCCAGTTGACGCTATTATTCGCTGTGTTTAATGGTCTCGTCCCCCCGCACAAATACATTTGAGTTCACTTGCTTTGGTTTGGCAAGCTTGTCTGGATCATATTAATCACAGCGCCCTGCGAGAAATAGGTCAAAACTTTAAAGTGATTTGAGAATCCCCCTGTTTGCCTAAATGTGAGCGCGTCACTTATTTTGTGTGTGTGTGTGTGTATCTCACTGCGAAGCTGGAGGCACACTGTCAAAGTACAGTCTTATAAATACTTGTCAATGAAGGAGGACTTTTGTAAGAACACAGAGCACTAAGACTGTCACTTTCATGGTCCTTGTCCATAGAAACAGCAAACAGGAACGAGTAGAGTATAAAATAAGAGAGGAAAGAGGAGCCTGTTGTAAGGCCTTAGCCATACAAGTTTCCTGAACAGAGCATTTGGGCCTCAAGTTTAGTTTTTTGCCAACAATGCGATAGCCTTCCGTTGCACGCTCATTCTTGTGAGGTGTAGTATTTTCACTTGTTTTGCTGATTGCCGATTTGATAAGTATGCTTTTATTCTTTAAGTGTCTCTATCCCAATGCATTGCCTGGATTTGATTGTGCGAGCCAATCCCTATCACCTTTGACTGCCCAGACCCTCACTATGGCATTGACCCTCCCATCCCGACCCCCTGAGCTCTTCTGGAATGTGTGTTAGTAAAACGTGTGTGTGTGTGTGTGTGTATGTGTGTGTGTATCAGTTGACCACAGCTGGCTTGAGCACCACAGTGCCTGGGGGGATGACGACCCAGGACAAAGGATCATGAGACCCTCCTGTGGAGAGGTTCAGGGCCCCCCCAGTCACCTCATTCTCTGCCTCCTCTCCTTTGCCCTTCTTTGCATGGTGGTTCTGGGCCCCGCACTCGGATGCGGGCCCCAGAACCGGCACCATCGGCAGGCCCAGGGCCGAGGAGGGAAACGCGGGGGAGAGAAGATGGGACTTTGTGAGACCCAGCGGGGAGCCGTTGAAAGAGAGGATGGATGTTCCTCCCAAGCTGCCAGGAGGGGAGTTGGCACAGCCCAGTGTGCTGAGGTCCAGGGGCCGAGAACTGAGTGGGGACAGGGGCAGGCTTCCACCCAGGCCCTGCAGAGCATGGCCTCCCAGGAGAGCAGCCGCTGCCCCTGGGATTATAATGTGGGCTCCACTCACATAGGACAACTCTGAATCTTTCCCACCACCACTAGTAAACCCCCCGCTCTGACTTCCCTTTAACAGGGAGCCCACTCCACCCGAGGAGCCCTGCTCCTGAGTCACAAAGTGGCCGTGGGCTTTGATGTGCTTGCGGAGAGAGCTGGGATCTGTGTAGCGCTTCAAGCAGCCCACCATCTTGCAGTAGTAGGGCTTGTCCACATAGTGCGTGCGTGTGTGTTTGAAGCGGTCGCTGGAGTTGGAGTAGCGCTTGTTGCAACCCTCATACGGACAAATGTAGGGCTTTTCACCTGCAGGGGGAGAGATGATACAGATGTTTAGATTCATTCAGAAAATCTTAAAAATCTACTCCACAAAAACAAAAGCCTTTGTAGGAATTAAGTAGAGACTTTATATGAAGGATTTCACAGCCTCAAGCTGAATGTTTTTGCAGTCATCGTCTTAGTTTTTTGAAACCAGACAGCTGTTATCTATTGACTCTCCAATCACAAGTCAGCCAATGAGCACAGCTCGGTTTAGCCTGCTTTCTTACTCTAATGGAGATCGCCATTTACAAAATGTCATGTTTTATTTAATATGACTCGATAGAAGCCATCAAAAACACAAGCTGACTATTATAAAGAACTTCCTTATTAATTTTTACTTTACAGTTTAATTGTATAGCAAACACTGCCTCAGATATCCGTCAGTACTCACTGGGCTCTGACCACTGACCTGTGTGTGAGCGGTTGTGTATCTTGAGATTCTCCAGGCGCGAGAAGCTCTTGTTGCAGGTGGGACAGCGATGGGGTTTCTCATTAGTGTGAGTGCGAATGTGGATGAGCATTTTGTACCTGCGGCACACACAAACGAAAAAGCTTTAAATCTATTTCTCACTTGTTGAATTTCCCCCCTCAGAGACAAAATGAACCGTTTTCAACTCACCTAGCATTAAACCCTCTCCCTTTGCGAGCACAGCCCTCCCAGTGGCAGCAGTACCCAGAATCCTTTTCAGGTTTGACGTGGAAGTCGTTAACGTGGTCCACCAGGTCTTGCAGGGAGTCAAACAGCAGATGGCACTAAGGGAGGGAAAAGCATTTGAATATAATCTTGTGACAATGCAGTTGTTTTGATTTGATTCAAACTTCCCTGCAAGGGCATCAGAAAAAGCTTTACCTTCTTCCAACGACAGGCTAGCTGTTCATCTGCTGAAAGATCTGGAGAGGATCTCTTGTCACTAGTCTGGCCAATGAACATAGAGGATGGAAGGTGAAGTCCTGTCCCATGTCCTATTGGCACAAAGAACTGGAAGGCCTGTGAGATATGAGAATTCTGGTAAAAACAAACCAAAAAAAAAAAGAGGGAAAACAGCAACAGAGTTATTAAACTGCTGCACAAGCTTTACTGTATATCATAAAACCCAGAAAATGAAAGGATATATGTAAATAAAACTCAGCTGCCACTGTCCATAGTTATGATCGTATAAGGGTGAAACCTTCTGTTTAGTACTAGCTGTTGCACTTCCAGCTTTAAAGCTGTGGAGTGCGCTGCATTGGAAAAGCAGACAGGTGCTGATGGACGTACTGACTGACAAAGTAAAAGTGTTGCTTTTTATCAATGGAGTACTGAACTGCAGATTCATGTCCTTCCCTTCAAAAAAAATCCCTTCCACTTTTCCTCTAGTAGTTTCCCCGCTGTGCACTACAAAACCTCCCTACATCCCTGAGCTCGGCATGAGAGATGTAAGATTCGCTGGATCTCAGCTGGGGCTCAAAGATCTAATGCACCAGCTCACCCACACACACTCATACACACACAGTTTATCTTAGCTCGAGGAGAGAACGGGAAGGATGAAATGCTGCGTTTACAAAGAGCCGCACAGGTACACGGAGATTTCAAGGGGAGCACAGACGGAGAAAAAGGGCGTACAGAGAGATCACAGTCTTCAGTGTTAGAATGCGCAGGTGACAAATTTCATAAAATGACGCCGTTTCCCTGCACTGAGCTGCAGCTCTGTGTGCAAAAAGTGTGTGAGCTACTTTGTAAGAGGTCTTATTTTTGGGTGTGACGGTAAGATAGACTGATAGTCTCCAATCTATATCCACAGGGATAAGTTAAGTGTGTGCTGCGGTGGGTTTGGGTTGGAGGGATGTGAGACTCAATAAGATGTGGGGCGACTGAATGGCCCCAGCCAGCATGCCTCAATTCAATTGCGTGGGAATTGAATTAGGCGGCGTGAGGTCTGCATGTCTTAAATCCGATTATAAATGTACACACCAACATCCATACACACACACACATCATGCCGGCAGGGCCACTGAGTCCAAGTTGCACAGACAAAGGTATTTGTTGGGGACACAAGAGGTGTTTGATAAGACTTTACCCCCTCACTCTGCCACTCTGTCTCACACAGAGGCCTCCCACCCTTTCCATAGCCTGATTCCCTTATGTGAGTGTGACACAACCCGATGTTGTTCCTGATTTGCTGACCCTAGCAGGCTGACTCACTCCTAGCTGTCGACAGGAAAGTGTGCTCACTCACCGCTGCAGTGAGAGACGGTGTTCATTTTAACAACAACTTGGAGGTGAACGAAGAAAAGAGTATGAGAAAATGTGGATTTGGAGCACTTATGTTTGCTTGTCAAAGTGTGTGTGTGTGTGTGTGTGTGTGTGTGTGTGTGTGTGTGTG